ATCTTAGTGTCGTTTTTTCACCACGAGTTTCGGACCACCAATATATTTAATTCAGAATCCGGGGAGTGAAACAGCATATTCATCGAATGACTCATTAGCACTTTCCCATTTACCAGTATGAGTGGAAACCTCGTACGATTAAAGCTAGGAATTTTTTGAGTCGAAAAAGAGAGGTAGGTCGGTTTTGACATCATCTGAAAATCATCCCTCTCACTTGCTAAAAAGTTAGGCCTGGACAAAAGAAGTATACAGTTAGTTAGAGTAGGGTCTGCACTGTATTGGTGGAAAATTTATTACTTACCAGCTCAACTGGACAATTTTTCCCGGAGTCTTTTTTGCCACATAGGGTCAAAAACGCACCCTTTTTGAGCACACGTGAGTAGCAGATGAGCACATTTATTAGAATTTCTTGTGCAATCAACTTCGTTAAAGCGTTTGTGCATCATCGATCAGTCACTGCTAAGGTGTCCTACCATTTCAGCACAAGACTGGTGCAGCCCCGTCTCGACTGATTTAACTAGGGCCACCTTTTTGACGACGATTGCGGGCATCACTTCAAAGACTTCACTGTCTTTTGAGAAAACTGTGAAAAACCGATGAGCATTTTAAATGGTAGTATTCCCTCCAACAAATGCAATGTTGGTTTGGTGGGCGGAAGTTGTAGCTCTCAGCAAGAATTTTGAAGCATTTGGTACACACATGCGAATTTGCACACTGGACCCAGGAATTTTCAAAAAAAAATATAAAAATTGGGGAAAAGTTAAATTGTGAACCAACAATAGAAAACAATAAGCAACATATTTCGCAGTATTAATGAGCAAAAAGGACTTTGAGATATTGATTTTCCATAGTAATCGGCCCCAAAACTTCCTGAACTCAGAAAAGCGACACTAAGATATCCGGTACCTAATAAAAAGTTTACATGTTTTCGAAATGGAAAATGATGTTGACACTCGCAATCCTGTCATACTGAGCACATTTTTCCTCTTAAGAGTTTCTCGGACACAGTCTATCTTGCGAATTTTCAAGGACTCTTCAGGTGGACTCATATTTATGCAAAGCTGTGTACATGAGCTGTCAAAAGCTGTCAAAAACAATAGCTGTCAAAAGTTTGCAAGCTATAAGCAAGCTTATGCACATACATATTTGCACTTATAAATATACTCAAATCGTTTCAGTTCACAACATCAAGGCTACCAATGGAAGAGGACAAGCCACCGACGCCTCGTGAAATGGTGTATCCGACGCATTGCACCCAGCAACGTCGCCAGCCGCAACAATAACGCTGCCTCCAGGTGCTTTTCGCTAAATGTCACATTCGTTATATATTGCTACAATATCCTGCTATAGATTCACTTTTTCATTTCATTTATTACATGCAGGAAGCATGTACAATGGATTAGAAGTTATTTAAAACAAAACTTCAAAAACAAAACCAAGGCAAGGCAAAACAAAGCAAAGTAAAGCAGGACATAACGAACTGTAGAAACAGAACAATGCATCATTTATTAGGACGGTGGAGATAATGGAAGACCGCCTTTCTAAAACTAGAGAAGAAGGGCGTTATTTTCACAATCTTGCTTGATTGCACAACTTTGATCTGTATGGAAATAATCAAGAATGACCACGCCTTGGTGAAGAAAGTTTCAGTGTTATTAAAAAGCTTTGAAGGAATTAAATCCACATTAAAAACAATGGGCAAATACGTACAGTACCTCCCATAACTTTGTTAAAAAAGACGCGGAAGACGCGGATCCGCGTCTTTTTCGTCTTTTTGCTATAATTTGATTTCTGATCGCTTTTCGACATGAAAAACTATACCATTAGACTCAGCTCGTCGAGTGCTATTAGAATGTCCTCTCAGATTTCAGAAAATTTCATTTTTCTATTCCAAAGTACCTGAGGCTACTCATTAGCGAGCGTCGCTCGCTATAATTACAGCCAGAGACAAACAGCTTCCACTAGTATTCAGCAAGCCTTTTCGCTTCTTTTTTGTTTTGGAATAGTATGAAAAAAGTGACTAACGTGTTCTTCAGGTGATGCTGATCATTTTGATACCTGATATTCCCTATTTAAGTCAACTTTGTTTAAATCCATTTTTGGAACGAAGTTGCATCTTTGAAGCGAAAAATAAGGAGAATGGGCCGATCCGCGTCGTCCGCGTCTTTTTAAAAAAAAAGTTATGGGAGGTACTGTAATAACGAAGAAATTTCCACAGTATGTTTCGGTGCACAACATTTTTGGTCACTTCAATAACTGCTTCTAGAATGGATGAGTTTAAGAAGCTGGCATCGCAAACTTAGCTAAAGTGTATCAAAATCGAGATGAGCTGAATTGCAGCGCAAGATTATTAATGAAATTCCAACCAATGAGTGACCACCAAAACTTCTCAATAATAAGAAATGGGTCCATAAAGCGCCATACGTGTGCCTGAATTGCCGTACTCTTGGATGCAGTCTCATAGGCAATAATTGCTTATTTGACTTCAAGGTGGCAGTTTACGATTGGCAAATGATCCAGCCATTAAATTAAAAGGAATCTTCCGCGGAAAAAGCTCCGCCTCCATTACCACAGAAAAACGATACCCCTTAGGCCCCTAGCCTCATGAGCATAGCAAAAAGAACGGAACATAAGCGTTAGTTTCGATAATACTAATCCTACACACAAGACAAAATGATCACTCTTTCCGTGGAAGATTCCTTTTAAGGTATCGTTTTCTGTGGTAATGAGGGCGGAGCTTTTTCCGTGGAAGATTCCTTTAAGGTAGAGGTGGTCATTGGTGCCATAACCAATAAAACCATGATAAACAGCCCAGAGCATAAAAACCCCTTCCTTACCCGTTTGCTTCCGCACAATGAGACTCATTGCTTACAACGCCAACAGCTCTCTCTGCTGCAAAGGGCAGAGAATTTGCGTCGCAAGTTGCTGAAAGCAAGTCGCTGCAGGTACCGCGCCGGATCGATATAATATTATGTAGATAGATTAGGAGTGGTATGCTAGATCGCCGGAGCATATCCTTTGCTGCGGATTCGTGTCAGCCTGCATCCTAAGGGGTATGTCTGTCTTCCCAGGTAAGCTTCCCCTCCTCTACCTTCGACCTCATATCGTGGAATCACCTTTTGAACAGAGAAACATTCCAGGCATCCGAAGCCATATTGAAGAATACATCTAGACATGGGTCAGCGTCCGAAAAAATTGAAGGCCATTCAAAAAATGATAAACAGCCAGACTGACTAGCGAGCCTGATCTTTTTGACTAGCGTGTCTTCGCATTGCCAAATTGGTGACACTCATTCCGGTTATTTAGAGGATACGATATCTGTTGCCTCCATGCAACGGTGATCAACCGAATGCCAGTGTAAACAATAAATAGCAGTAACAATATCAAAGTGATAGCCCCATCAACACTGTTGTCCTTCAACTTTCCCATTTTTATTCGAATAAGGGTTATATCGGGCGATCTCTTTACAAAATGATAATAAAGATTAGACAGAAGTTTCCTCACCCATACAATGTTTGCTGTTGCATCCCCCCATTATTACGGCAACAGTTACAGGCTACAATTCACATTGTGTTATTGTTACTTTTCTCACGTATGCCTTACGCAAACGTAATAAACTTATACTTATACCGTACATTACGCATGGAAGGCAAAGCGAAGCCCACACAAGATTATAAGTTCAGGAACATAGGGTGTATACCGTAACCTTCTCGACGTTGCACTGGGGCGCGCAATTCTCACGTGTCATCGATTTTCTCGTTTTCTCTGCGCCCTCCCAACGGAGAGAGAATGCGTCGAGCAGGCCCGCGCAGAGCTAACCAGGAAGGTCTTTCAGGGCGTGACAAGCTTTTTGAAAACGGTCTTTTGCATGATATAGGGGCAGATGCGGGAACCACAGAACCATGTTTAATTTTTCCTGAACGGCCCTCTGAATACCAGAAAAGGGGGTCCCTAGTTCGATTCCTCTTGGTGACAAATTTTTGCATTTCGAGTTGACGTTCCAAAATTCGCGCAAAATGGAGTTCTGATTGTTCTGGTTGGTTCTAACTCCATTTTGCGCGAATTTTGGCACGTCAACTCGAAATGCAAAAATTTGTTACCACGAGGAATCGAACTAGGGACCTCCTTTTCTGGTATTCAGAGGGCCGTTCAGGAAAAATTGAACATGGTTCTGTGGTTCCCGCATCTGCCCCTATATCATGCAAAAGACCGTTTTCAAAAAGCTTGTCACGCCCTGAAAGACCTTCCTGGTAAGCGCCGTCAAGATGTGAAAATGCAACGCAAGCGGCTGTCGCCACACGTTTGATGACGCGGCACCCCGGGGATTACCTCCCTATGCCCGCGCGCGCAGCGAGGCGAACGCTGCGACGCCCGCTCCATTTTCGGGTCGTGCCTGATACGGATATCACGCGACAGCTTTGAACTCACGTCCTTTAAAACCGCTTTGAATGTGACATGCCTTCGCCTGCGCTCTCTCGTCCGAACAGCGGCTTATAGTTACTGTGATCTGATAAATTCAAATTTTGCCAAAATATGATTGACACACCCACTCCAGAGCCCCTCCTTTCTCCAAGGCTTAGTCCTAAGGCTCACACCTTACTGCTCTAGATTTGGAGCCGAGCCAGGCGCCGTTCTCTGGTCGTCTGTGCTCTAGCCTTTCTCAGCAGAGAACGCAGGGGCGAGTTCAAGTAGTCACGCTAATCGTCCCTGAACAGCAGGGGCGGCGTCGCTTGACCGCTCTCACACTAGTGCTGGCATTGTGCACTGGAAAGCCCGCGACACGCGCTCTGACGCAAACGTTGGGTTACGGTATACATCCTATATTCCTTAACTTATAATCTTGTAGGCAGCGCCGCGCTGTTCTTGCCTTTTGAACTCAGGAAATAGGATAGACTGGACCTGCAAGGAAGCTAAATGGTGCAATTCCCTTGTACTACCTTATGTGGCCTTGGAAAGTTTGAATCTACAAGATTTGAAGCCGCGACGTTGAATTGGGCAAGATGATGTGGACAGCCAGTGGGGTCACAGTTGTCTCCCTACAATCCAATTTAAGAACAGAATGATACATTGGCAACAAAAGTGGCTCCAGAGGTACCTTGCCCAGTGAATGCCCTTGAAAAAAATGGGTACCCGAAAGGAGGCCCGTCACGCGGCAAAAAGGCAGAGTCGGCGGAGAAGTCGCACCGTGCTATTCAACGTGGGGCCTATAATGGCACATTCTGTTTGACTTGACGCGCAATCACTACAGAACGCGTGTGACTCGTCCGCGACCCTGCCTCCCACGACGGGCCTCCTGTCGAACACCCATAAATAGCGCGCTCGTTACTAACGTGTTTAGTCAGCTTCATTGAAAAAGCGAAAAATGCATTTTTGCTACAATTAAAGGGAAACTGTTTCGCCACATTAATAGCTTATAAGTTAATCTTGGGAGTGTAAATGGGTAATATCTCCTCCTTGAGCCTACACTTCCGGTTTGAATGAAGTGGTATTCGACGTGTTGCAAAATAATGAGACACCACCTACGATTGTGAGTATTTTACTTGAGTTACTTGAGTTTACTTGTATGAGTTCTATCACATCGCATACCGTTAAAACCGCGTCTACAAAAACTGTTCTCTCGGAAGCAGCTCATTTATCAACCCGAGATTTTGTTTGAAGATCGCTGCAAAGTAAGACTTCTCTGCAAATATTCCTTACTGTTCAAAGTTCTGATCCAAATGGCAGCTTATTTGGCGTTTGGGATCTACACGATTACGGTTTCAGTTCCTTACATTTTTCCTACTGATGAACACCGGACGTTGACTAACGCGAGTTTGATTGCTCTATGACACTAATTACTGCCTATTTTGAGCGCTTAAAGAAAACTGGGGCTAGGAAGTCGGAAAATCTCAGCACGAATGTAACCAAAACGGCTTCTAGACAGCCTAGAACATAACGAAGGAAGAAATAGTGCATGGGCTAAAAAAATACATCAGATAATAATCACTTGCACCCAGGCTGTGCCAGCATAATCATAAACATTTTATTCCTTTCAAACATTTTTTGGCGAGGGTCCAATCTCGTGGTCCAGACGGTTCTCTTCACCTGAAAACATGCATGTTAAAGAACTCTATGGAATACATTTGCCGAAAAATTGTTGGTGGATCGCTAATGAAGTGGGGAGCCCCAGCCCAGCAGGAATACTGAGAATAGATTTCTCGCAAAGGTGGCCTTTGTGATAAAAGTTGTGACAGCAGCTGAGATTCTCTCGAGTTTCAAGGAAGTCTAAAAATTTTGTTGTATTTTATATTGTTCATTCCAAGTCGAAGTATTGTTCGTTGCAGTGTATCCGAGATTCTGCAATTCTTGTCAAAGCTCGACATAGTTTTACCGCGAGACTGACTAACTGTACTGTTCAGAAGAAGCTGAAGACGCTGATCCCACTCCAATTCGTCCCATTCAAACAATCATCGATTCAAGAGAAACTCAAGACACTGATCCCACTCCGATTCGTCCAATTCAAACAACCATCGGTTCAGAAGAAACTCAAGACACTGATCCCACTCCGATTCGTCCAATTCAAACAATCATCGATTCAAGAGAAACTCAAGACACTGATCCCACTCCGATTCGTCCAATTCAAACAACCATCGGTTCAGAAGAAAATCAAGAAACTGATCCCACTCCGATTCGTCCCATTCAAACAATCATCGATTCAAGAGAAACTCAAGACACTGATCCCACTCCGATTCGTCCAATTCAAACAACCATCGGTTCAGAAGAAAATCAAGAAACTGATCCCACTCCGATTCCTCCACTTCAAACAATCCATCGGTTCAGAAGAAAATCAAGA